CTAAGTTTAAAAATACTAAAGCCTTCTTCTGTTTTGAGGATTAAACCCCACATACGAATGACATACGGATTTCATTTGCTGACATCATTTATTACTTAACATCACTCCATTCCAGACAGAATAAATGGATGCAGAGGGTAACGGGTAGGTTTGCTCATTCACTTTTGAAGCCCATCAGGGCATGCTATCCATCCTAATAAAGAGAATTTATCACAACTCAACCTAATGTGATTTTTGTTCCAGTGATTTCTTCCTCCACTGAACAACAGCTAGCATTGAAACCTAGAATTCCCCGCGCTTCTCTCCTCCATTCCTATTTAAAATGCAGTTCACAGCTTGAGATCACAGAGCCTGCCAGTGGCTGAATGACTGCACTAGATGGCTGAGAGTCCTTCAATTAAGCAGCAATTTTGCAATTAGTGGAAACTGAGTGCTAACAATCGTTTGAAAACTAGTTGAGACAAGTCAGCAATTACCCTATTAAAGGGATATATTCACTTGCATGGGCTAGGCTAGCCCCCTCACGCAAGCTGAAATCTTCCACACGGGGAGGTGCAGCTTGAAACGCTTTAACTATCACAGTAAACTCAGTATCTCAGTATTGTGGACATCTGAAATGAGAGTGCCTTTCATTTAAAAATAATACCCAGAGGTTTGCTATCACACACTCTATTTGTTGTTTTCACTGAGGAAGTCTAAAATTGTTCTTTTCTCTACTCTGGGACAAACTTCCTAAATTTTAAAATGTTAATGAACTACTTGTATATCACTCTTGCATTGTGTACATCTTGGATAATTTTTGAAGCTTAGCTTAATTGATCAAGTCTGTGATTGACACTCAAAGCTGCTGGCTGTTATGTTCTACAAGTTCACTACCTGTAAATAGGTGTGTGTGTGTGTGTGTGTGTGTGTGTGAGAGAGAGAGAGAGAGAGAGAGAGAGAGAGAGAGAGAGAGAGAGAGTTACAGAAGGTTTTAAAGACAAATGTAAAAAAAATGTGAACAAGCTCTTTGCTATATTATCAGGTGGGTATGCTCAGCTTGTTATGTGAGCTGAGCTACAAACCAGAGCTATTTATGTTAGAAAGAAATGAGATTATCAATCATCTACATTTCGACTATTGAAAAGCTGGGACTCAAATCTTCCAGGAAGGAGGGAATGATTTACATTGTAATGGTGCCCCATTAAACTGAAAACCCAGAGACTTTGAGCAAGGATTTTAGAAAATTGCATTATTTACAGGATCCTCCCCCCATTATAGTGAGTTAACCAGCAATATTCCAGCACCTCCCCATCCCTCTTGGGCCATTATGAGATTTAGGCAATTAACTCACATGGTGTACATGAATCATTTGAAGTGATCGTTGCATTTTAGGCAAATAATCACTTTCTTGGTTCATTTTGTTTGCAAGTATAAGTTATACTTACTGAAATAACATCCTAAAACAGATTTCCTAAAATGCTTCATTTTCTCCATACTTTAATATTGACCTACTATATATCTCAAATGACCTTAAATATCACTTTAAAATAAACAAGGTTTCCAGACACTAATTCAGCTCTGAATGGGCTATGAAAAGCTCCACAGGTATGTAAAAAATTACTGTTATTTTGCTTTAAAAAAAGGTGATGTCTAAGTGTGTCTGCAATGTTCTAATGTTTCCAAACATGTACGTAAGTCATGTTTATCTGGAAACCATTTCTTTCTGCTTATATCATTTATAAATAGGAAATGCTTTGTAATAACTTAAAATAGCTATATATACATAACACTTTTCTTGTCATAAAACTTATAATCAGTCTATATTTACCAACATTTATCACATTTTGCAAAATAAAGTAGAAGAGAAACACAATGACTTTATGGCCCTGGAATTCCAGTGATGGTGACTAACATGTTTAAAATTCCAGTAAAGTTTATGGTTACATTTCAACAAGTGTCTCTTTCCTTTCTCTTACCTCTACTGCCAGTCCAGAGGTTAACTTACAGAAGAAAAATCAAGCAAGGTATTTGCAACATCAGGGAAGAGGAGTTGGTGATTATTTTAAAGGGGTGCCATTCCCAGGGCCAAAACTTTGTAGTGTAATTTTTAGGTGCAATGTGATCTATTATGTTTAATAACTCGAAGCACTGCACACCATAATCCCAGAAACCTCCAATGTAAAAGTGATGATGTTGCAGGAGGTGAATATTGCAGGCGCCCAAGTTCACGTGAATTAAATCTGCAAGTATACCTCAATAAATAAAAATATAAAAAAATATATGTATATATAAATATAACCAAAATGGCTTTTGACCATACAACAAATTCATATAAAAATAGATTTTTGAATAAAAACAGAGGAGTTATTTTTTAGGACGTTGGGCCAGTTTAAAGATTCATTTAATAGCATAACACATTTTATATGCAGTTAAAAATCAACGTTTCTTATAACATCCTGCTTTGCTTTAAAAGATAACTGTACTAGGAGAATGAATAAACACTCAGAAATATGCTTTTCTTTGCTTCTAGCCAAGAACATTCCTGCGTTCTTGTCAGAAAATGTTCACTGGGTACTGCTGACGTTGAGGTGTAAGTGTAAGACACCTGAGAACCCTAAAATAAGACCCAGGGGGCCCTAACACACCACCAACCGTAGCCTGTCAAAGCTCCAGCAGCGCGGAAAACTTTTTGCTTTGGAGCCAAGGAGGCGCCACGGAATCAAAATTCATCTGGAGTCAGAAAGCATCATTCAACAAGTCCCTCCTACCAGCTCCCAAAGGGATCTAGCAAAGCCATCCCTTAACACTTCCCCACCCCCAGGCTCCCGCCCCCAGCCGCTGCTCAGGGCAGCTTGGCCGGCAGAGGGCACCCTCTACCTTCCCTAGCACCGAACTCCCTGCCCCCTCCACCTCCTCGCGCCCCCACCCGGGTCCCTCCACCCTGCTCCACCACCGCACACAAACACAGCATCTTCCGAATGCAACTCTAGTTTATCCCAACGGCCGCGAGGCTTTTCTCCCCTGGGGATCCCCCCGCCCCCGGTCTGCAATTCCGCTTTCCTGCCCATGGGGCATAAAGCCCCCAACCCTCGGCTATTTCTTTCCAGGTACAGGTCACGCACCCATTTCCTTCTCCCCAGCTCTGCATCCCCAGAGACCCACCCGAGTCAGGACACCCCCCACACACATTCCACCCACCCAGCCTCCCAAAGTCAAAACTTCTACCTCCCTGGAAGGTGTGCCCCAAGGGAGGGGTGCGGGGTGGGACAGGTGCGTGCACAGCCAGTCCCGGAGTTCCGCCGCCCCTTAAGGTTCGAGCTGCGAGGGTTTCTCAAGTTTTCCAAGATACATTGGCATCGGACCTGTATCAGTCCTCTTTGGTCTCCAGTCCTGTGGAGCAGGTGACCATGTGCCAGGGGGATGAATTTCCCGGGATGGGGATGCGGTGTGAGGGAGCGAGGGGCCCCCTGAAATTTGGACGGGGGCCGCCCAGCCCATGGGCGAGATCACATCCCAGCATTGACACGGTCACCTCAGGCAGGGCCCCCGACAGTTGGCGCCCTACATCTCTCTCAGGACCTGTCCTCTGCTGGCGGAGGGTTTCGGGGGATCCCCGGGACGCTGTCTTCGCTCCCACCGCGCAGCTCCAGGTCTCCCGCAGGCTTTCTCTCCCCCACCTCAGGGCTTCTCGGGGTCCCGCTCCCTCGGGGGAACCTGGCTGCGACTCAGGTTGCTGTGACGGGAGGAGAAAGCTGCGCAGGAACCACTCCACATCCCTCCTTCTCTGGAGGGGACGAAAGGAGTTCTGGTCTCTTCCCATAACTTCGGGGGCCCCCTAGCCAACTTTCCCCAGCAGACCGGTGGCTCCTGCGCCAAGCCCAGTGCCTGGTGGTCGCCTACCTCGGGGTCCACACAAAGCTCACGGGTCGCCAGCGGCTGAGTCACATCGTTGTCCGGCTCCTGGCCCCTGCGCCCAGACCCAGTCCCCGTCGCGGAGCCCCACGCCGCCTGCCCCAAAGCAGGGGTGGCAGCTGCAGTTCAAGTGTCTCATCAAAGCTTCACGGAGAGGAGGTGGGGGGCGCGCCGAGCCTGCTCCTCGGCCCCGCCCGGGAGCCCGCGGCGCTACGGGGTGCGCGGGACAGCGAGCGGGCGGGTCCGCCCGGGTGCGGCGGCGACGGCGACCCGGAGCTCCAGCCTGCGCTTGGAGCTCGGGTCAGACATTATTTAGACCTTCGGTTGAGCTTCGATTGGTCAAACGGCGCCGCCCCCCGCCCCCCCTCTTCTGGCTCCCCCGCGCCACCGATACCCGTGCGGGGCGGCTGCTTAAAGGGAACGCCGCGCCTTTTCCTCGTCGCGGCTCAGTCCCCGGGACTCCCTGGGCTTCCCAGGCCCCGCGTCCCGCGCTCCCTGTCCCCTCGAGCCACGCGACGTAGCCCGGCAAACCCGGCGCCCGCCTGGGGCACCTCCGCCGGACGCACGCGCTGTGCCCACCGCTTCTGGGGGAGCCCTAACCCCCACCCGGGGGAACCCCGCGTCCCGCGCCCTCAGCGGAAACCCCGGCTGTGCGCGCTGGGGCGGGAGGGAGCGAGTGCAAATGCTGCGCCCCTGGGGTCTAGCTCCCCTCGCTTGAAACTCCCACCACCCCATCCCAGCGCTCAAGTTCAGTGTGAGAGGGCGTGCGTATCCCCGGCCACAGACACACCTTCCCGCACCACGGAGCTTGCCAACGCGAGCACACAATGAAATCGCACAGAGCTGGGGGGCTATTGGTTTACTCCGGGGCCTTAAGCACGCCGGCTTAACAAGAGTTCGAGCACTGACCTCTCCGGAGTTTGCCTAATAGGAATTCAATCAAGATAATAACGGCATTCTTTATTAATGAACACCCCCAGATAACGTTACACCAAGTTACTTGTTCCAGCCAGGAAAGCCGAGGCAATGACAGACCTCACTAAAGCCACACGCTTTCTAGCCGACCAGAGAAAAACGGAAAGAGAAAGAAAGAAAGAAAAACCCACCTTTTCAGTCACTACTTGTCAAAGTAAACATCAAGGCAGCTGCTCGGGGGAAGACTTCGGTCCCAAAACTCCCAGACTATTTTTTTCCCCCCACGTTCCCTTTGGTTAAAAAGAAGGGGGGTAGGGGCGAGTATTTGGTGCCCGGTCTGAACTCCTTCTGTTCTGCAGCAAAGAAGTTAAATTATTGATAGTGGAAAATGCATGGCGGAGGTAATACTCGCACCCCCTGAACCAGGAGCTCCATTTGATCACGGCAGAGGCAGGGAAATTTCATGCTAGCTCGCCGGGGGGAGCGGCAGCGCCGGCAGTCCTCTCAGCGGTGAATGGGAAAGTGGGTGGGAGTCCACGAGAGGGCTCCACGGTGCCTTGACGTGCGCTGTCATATGATACCTCCGCTGCCTCGAAATAGACACTCTAGTGCACGAATTACCAGAATCAAAATTCAGCGCATTTAAAATGATACATCTTTTATTAGAAGAGTTCCGTTCCAGGCATTGCATGGTTTTGCAGATGTTTTCACTTCCCTCCCTAGCAAACTTACACACATAAACCACCCTTTTAATAATGGACCTTGGCAGCAAAGATAAATAAAAAGCCTTCAGTTTTAACGGGTAGGGGGAAGCATTTGGCTCAGTGGATTCTCCCCTCGTTCCCCCCCCACCCCCCGCACCCAAACCCCCCAACAGAAGAGCAAACAGTCTTTCCGATTCATATTTGCCAGTAGCCAAGACCCTTGGAGAGAACTGAAGTGGCTAGGGTCCTGAGGACCATTTTCAATTTGTCATTGGACGAACCCTGTCAACCGTCTCCTTGGTTCCTGCATCAAAACAGAATTTTCTTCCCATTAGTTCGACCGATTCTTAGCCACTAAGAGAGAGACCTTAATTTTTCAGAACAAGGAACAATACAGCAATAGTTAACTTGGAGTCCTTGGACCTGCTCTGAGCATAAAAAATCACCTGGGTACCCGTTAAAATGCAGATTTCTCTTCCAGACGTGATTTAGTACTGGTGGGGCAGGGTCCAGGTATTAGCATTTAAAAAGGACCTCAAACATTTTTGGATGCAGTAAATCTGAGGTCACACTTTAAGAAACAGTCTCTCTTTCAGCCTGCTTAATTTGGTATCAGAGGAATCTCCTATTTCCCCCAAATTTGGGCAGGCAGTTTTGTGTGTATGTGCATTTTTCTGTAATTTCAAAGAGGCTTGACCTAATAATTGCTGTAAGAATTTCCCTAAACACTCAAAAATTGATTTGGGGAAAGGGAAAGATTTATAAACAGTTTCCTTTCCTGGACCCTCTTGTGGTTATCAAGAATGTGCTGTTGAGCTGAATATGTAATGTTAATATATACTCAGTTCAGTTTACCTAATGGTCTACGGTTAACAGAGTGAGTTTATTTTTATTAGCTGTTTTACAGCTTCTAAAGACTAGCGATGGAAAATATTATTCTCCTTTTATAAATGAAGAACCAGAGGCTCAGTGCCATGAAATAATGTGCCCAAGTTCACACAACTGAATGCCAGAGACAAGATTTCAGTGAACTCAGGAACTTCAGCTAGAAACATCCTTGCCTCCTCCACTCCAAAATAAAGGAAACTATCTCTTCCTTGGAAGTGTTATCAGGAAGTGTGATCATTCAGAGCATCTTGGCAAATTGTTGGACTGAATAGTCAAATTATACAAATATATGCATATTCTTAGAGTGTCACACATTTGGCTTTGTACCTCAGTCAACTTGACAGAGCACATGACCAATACAAACTACCCTGCTGCACAGATAGTGGAATTTGTTGTAGAATATTGAATGAATGTGAAGTATGCTGGGCAGCCAGAAGCAATAAAGGACAGAGGGCAAGACTCTGTGCTCGGCTACCTCAGAGAATTTCTATATTGATTCCCATGGGTGAAGGCTGAATGCAGACATAATTTCTTTGAATAGTGCAAAACAATTTAAGAGGCTGCTTTTATAAATTAAAAAAAATATTTGTACTACTTTATAAAGTACATGAAGAGTTCTACTCTTTATGCTAACTTCAAACCGATGTTTACTTTCCAACTTCAAATTTGCTTGAAAATGAGTTATTTCCTCAGGTTTTCAAACTCAGTTGTAATTTATTTCCTTCCTGAAAAATCTGGCAAGTAAGCATCAAGAATCTTAGCAATCTTCTCAGTGCTGCTCAGTTAGAAATGATGGCAAATCTCCTACCTGTTAAACTCACATTGCCACGTCAGCATTTCTGCTGAAGAAAAAAGTGTTCTCATTTCCCAGACTCTGCTTGTGTCTGCAGCCAATCTTCATATTTCTACTCTCCCTTGACATTATACAAATAAATGTTTGTATCTTTACTTTCCAGCATGTGGTGCAGTTTTACTGAGAAAAAGACAGAGAAGTCAGAACTAGCAGGAATATTTAGAAATAAAAAAAGTTCAAATGCCAATTTAGATAAACCCTTCTGATGAATCAGACATCTTGACACTTCCAAGTACTTCCAAACTTTCTAATCTGTAATTATAGTGTTACCAGACTTGAAACACTTGCCTTCTTGCCTTAGAAGTACATCTTACATTAAAAAACAATGACACCAAGATGAATAAAGTTGTACCAGGGCCTTGAATGGAATTCTAAATAATATTTTATTGAATTCAGGTAACATATACAGTGTTTGAGGTTTAAGATCAACATTTTACAAAATTATACTCTTACTGTGATTGAGAGTGATACTGAGAAAAATCTTCACTGCCTGAAAAGAAAGTGCTCCCTGTTTCACATTTGTGGGCCTTAAGAAATTACTTTTGAATTTTGACCTTTTTTTACTTTTTATTATGGTCTAATACTACACTAGCCCAGTGTTCTAGAAACACAAAGTTCAGGAAGAAACGTGAATTCCCATCTAGTCTTGCCAGGAAATATATACTTAGCTTCATTACTCAAGTGGGAACAGGGGCAGAAGGCTCAGATGTGACACTGATACACTTTTTTCTATTAATAATTTTAATTGGCCAAGGTCAATTCTAGTATCACTATAAGCTTCTATGTTTAATTATGTTTATTTATGCTTCCTAGTTACTCCTGCCTTCAGACTTCTTGCAAAAAAAAAAGTTGTCTAGAATCAAATAAATTGACCTCAAGAAACACTGAAAATTGAAGTAATTAGCATAAGGGAAATAATAAGTGAAGAGAAAACTCTCCTGCTGAGCAGGGTGGCAAAGGTATTTTCAGATTCAGGCTGGATGATGTCAAAGGCCCAATCCGGTGCTGAGCCATGTCACCCACAGTCCTCCAAATTATTGAGTAAGGCCTGTCCTGAGAAAAATCTCAGGGGAGAAATAAGATCCCTGTTCATTAGATGGCACCATAATGTGGGGTGTACTCTTCTCCATGAGCTTTTATTGAACTTTGATATCCTTTGGCCATAAGGATAGCTCAATGCTATCCTCAAATGTGTCCAAATTGGTCAACACCTGTTACAGGAATTATGTAACCAGGTATGGCCATTAGTGGCAAACAAAAGAAAGGAACCTCAGTAAGACAATGTTAAAAGGGCTAGGGTTAGGACAATCAAACAAGAAGGTAAAAAACTGGTCTCATCTGGGAGAAATATTTAGTTGGATCAAGAACAACAGCACAAAAACCATTACCAAACAACTGAGACTAACCCCCAAACACACAAGTGTCATCAATTTGTAAACGTCTGAGTTACCAGATTTTCCATGAGAACATTTAAAAATTAATGGTGAAGAATACATTGGTTTACTCATTGTGGTGTTTCTATAAGCATTGTCAAGAGGGATGTGACTGCGGACTTAGGATGAAAGTTAGAGCTGGCCATGACAGCTGACTGCGGTATTCATTGGCTTTCCTGGGAGAAAAGCCATGGAAAGAATTAAAACTTTTAAACCAGAGGGTTTCAGGACATTGAAGCCAGTTGTAAGGAACAGACTACTTTATTTTTGAGACCCAACTATTGAAGCTGTGTTATGATTTGGGTTAGAGATTTTCTGTCATTAAATTTTGTATTCTTCATGGAGAAACTTAGAAAGGTTTGCAGAAAAAGATAACTTAGAAGAAAATAATCACTGAATTTCCCAAAGTCATATGAAAGACTCATGCTAAGAATTCAGCCTATTTTTTTTATGTGATTCTAAATCCACATAGTGCTTATCTTTAATGGTCTTTTTGATGAAGGACTGGGCTGATGTAACACTGGTTCTCTTGCCCAAGTCCTCAAGATAGCACAAACATGGTGGAAATAAAGTCTTCCATAGCATACGTGTGGCAGCAAGGACCAGCTTTCAGATTTGTCTAGCATACAGAATCATTTGGAAACACCTGAAAGTTTTGACCTTTTCAGGGGCAGTTTACCTTCAGCTTATTACCTTCATAGTTACATCCATCCAGATGATGAAAACTGCCTGAGTACCTACCACCAGACACTGCTCATGGACTGTGATCCAGGCACATGAATGAAATACATTTCCTCCCTTCAGGTGCTCAGCTTCTAGAACAGAACATCTGTCTTTTAATCCATTTGAGCCACTTGTGAATTAGTTAAAGGTAGGAATTTCATTTCGTTTTGTTTTGCCACGGACTTGGTGTATAGAAAGATGAGCATCAGCATGCCCCTAGTGGCCAGGGTGTAGTAGTGATGGACAATAAACTTGCTCTCATACCCACCTGGGCACCTAGCATCTGGGGTGGGCCAAGCACCATTCATCAGTGCTCTAGTTATCCTTGGTTAGCAGTGTTTTACATAAGCAGACAAAGGGTAAAGGGCTGGGGAGGGAGTAGTAGAGAGGAAATGAGACATAGTTCAGACAAATAGCTTTTTTGAATATGATTAGGTAGACATAAAACAGTAGGTCCAGAAGAGGTCTTAAGAGACTATCTCATTTTCCTCACTAATCATAGGCCTATCATTGCAGACCAGGGAAGTAGACTAGTCATCTTATTTCTGAGGACCTTTCTAAGAACCCAGCAATTCTGGTGCTTGGACATTCCCACTTGTAACACATTTTTTTCTCCTTGTAATTTATAACTTACTCCATTTCATCCAACCTTAGTGAAGATGGAGAACAGCTGCTTACTAAACTTTTTGTATTATTAAGTCACCACTCAGACTGTTCTCATAGCAAGAAATCAGATCTCACAACTTTTCTTCATAAACTCCAACTTCCAATCCATTAATCTTTCCCTTGGTCTACCCTGGACCTCCTCCAAGATCTCCATATTCTTCTGAAAATGTGGAGCCCCAAACTAGACATGTGTGTGAAATTATCCAGGGCTCAGGAAACATGGGAGTCA